GAAGGAAGGAAGCATGGGGGCACGGGATTGTGAAGGAAGGAAGCATGGGGGGCACGGGATTGTGAAGGAAGGAAGCATGGGGGGCACGGGATTGTGAAGGAAGGAAGCATGGGGGGCACGGGATTGTGAAGGAAGGAAGCATGGGGGGCACGGGATTGTGAAGGAAGGAAGCATGGGGGGCACGGGATTGTGAAGGAAGGAAGCATGGGGGGCACGGGATTGTGAAGGAAGGAAGCATGGGGGGGCACGGGATTGTGAAGGAAGGAAGCATGGGGGGCACGGGATTGTGAAGGAAGGAAGCATGGGGGGCACGGGATTGTGAAGGAAGGAAGCATGGGGGGCACGGGATTGTGAAGGAAGGAAGCATGGGGGGCACGGGATTGTGAAGGAAGGAAGCATGGGGGGCACGGGATTGTGAAGGAAGGAAGCATGGGGGGCACGGGATTGTGAAGGAAGGAAGCATGGGGGGCACGGGATTGTGAAGGAAGGAAGCATGGGGGGCACGGGATTGTGAAGGAAGGAAGCATGGGGGGCACGGGATTGTGAAGGAAGGAAGCATGGGGGGCACGGGATTGTGAAGGAAGGAAGCATGGGGGGCACGGGATTGTGAAGGAAGGAAGCATGGGGGGCACGGGATTGTGAAGGAAGGAAGCATGGGGGGCACGGGATTGTGAAGGAAGGAAGCATGGGGGGCACGGGATTGTGAAGGAAGGAAGCATGGGGGGCACGGGATTGTGAAGGAAGGAAGCATGGGGGGCACGGGATTGTGAAGGAAGGAAGCATGGGGGGCACGGGATTGTGAAGGAAGGAAGCATGGGGGGCACGGGATTGTGAAGGAAGGAAGCATGGGGGGCACGGGATTGTGAAGGAAGGAAGCATGGGGGGCACGGGATTGTGAAGGAAGGAAGCATGGGGGGCACGGGATTGTGAAGGAAGGAAGCATGGGGGGCACGGGATTGTGAAGGAAGGAAGCATGGGGGGGCACGGGATTGTGAAGGAAGGAAGCATGGGGGGCACGGGATTGTGAAGGAAGGAAGCATGGGGGGCACGGGATTGTGAAGGAAGGAAGCATGGGGGGCACGGGATTGTGAAGGAAGGAAGCATGGGGGGCACGGGATTGTGAAGGAAGGAAGCATGGGGGGCACGGGATTGTGAAGGAAGGAAGCATGGGGGGCACGGGATTGTGAAGGAAGGAAGCATGGGGGGCACGGGATTGTGAAGGAAGGAAGCATGGGGGGCACGGGATTGTGAAGGAAGGAAGCATGGGGGGCACGGGATTGTGAAGGAAGGAAGCATGGGGGGCACGGGATTGTGAAGGAAGGAAGCATGGGGGGCACGGGATTGTGAAGGAAGGAAGCATGGGGGGCACGGGATTGTGAAGGAAGGAAGCATGGGGGGCACGGGATTGTGAAGGAAGGAAGCATGGGGGGCACGGGATTGTGAAGGAAGGAAGCATGGGGGGCACGGGATTGTGAAGGAAGGAAGCATGGGGGGCACGGGATTGTGAAGGAAGGAAGCATGGGGGGCACGGGATTGTGAAGGAAGGAAGCATGGGGGGCACGGGATTGTGAAGGAAGGAAGCATGGGGGGCACGGGATTGTGAAGGAAGGAAGCATGGGGGGCACGGGATTGTGAAGGAAGGAAGCATGGGGGGCACGGGATTGTGAAGGAAGGAAGCATGGGGGGCACGGGATTGTGAAGGAAGGAAGCATGGGGGGCACGGGATTGTGAAGGAAGGAAGCATGGGGGGCACGGGATTGTGAAGGAAGGAAGCATGGGGGGCACGGGATTGTGAAGGAAGGAAGCATGGGGGGCACGGGATTGTGAAGGAAGGAAGCATGGGGGGCACGGGATTGTGAAGGAAGGAAGCATGGGGGGCACGGGATTGTGAAGGAAGGAAGCATGGGGGGCACGGGATTGTGAAGGAAGGAAGCATGGGGGGCACGGGATTGTGAAGGAAGGAAGCATGGGGGGCACGGGATTGTGAAGGAAGGAAGCATGGGGGGCACGGGATTGTGAAGGAAGGAAGCATGGGGGGCACGGGATTGTGAAGGAAGGAAGCATGGGGGGCACGGGATTGTGAAGGAAGGAAGCATGGGGGGCACGGGATTGTGAAGGAAGGAAGCATGGGGGGCACGGGATTGTGAAGGAAGGAAGCATGGGGGGCACGGGATTGTGAAGGAAGGAAGCATGGGGGGCACGGGATTGTGAAGGAAGGAAGCATGGGGGGCACGGGATTGTGAAGGAAGGAAGCATGGGGGGCACGGGATTGTGAAGGAAGGAAGCATGGGGGGCACGGGATTGTGAAGGAAGGAAGCATGGGGGGCACGGGATTGTGAAGGAAGGAAGCATGGGGGGCACGGGATTGTGAAGGAAGGAAGCATGGGGGGCACGGGATTGTGAAGGAAGGAAGCATGGGGGGCACGGGATTGTGAAGGAAGGAAGCATGGGGGGCACGGGATTGTGAAGGAAGGAAGCATGGGGGGCACGGGATTGTGAAGGAAGGAAGCATGGGGGGCACGGGATTGTGAAGGAAGGAAGCATGGGGGGGCACGGGATTGTGAAGGAAGGAAGCATGGGGGGCACGGGATTGTGAAGGAAGGAAGCATGGGGGGCACGGGATTGTGAAGGAAGGAAGCATGGGGGGCACGGGATTGTGAAGGAAGGAAGCATGGGGGGCACGGGATTGTGAAGGAAGGAAGCATGGGGGGCACGGGATTGTGAAGGAAGGAAGCATGGGGGGCACGGGATTGTGAAGGAAGGAAGCATGGGGGGCACGGGATTGTGAAGGAAGGAAGCATGGGGGGCACGGGATTGTGAAGGAAGGAAGCATGGGGGGCACGGGATTGTGAAGGAAGGAAGCATGGGGGGCACGGGATTGTGAAGGAAGGAAGCATGGGGGGCACGGGATTGTGAAGGAAGGAAGCATGGGGGGCACGGGATTGTGAAGGAAGGAAGCATGGGGGGCACGGGATTGTGAAGGAAGGAAGCATGGGGGGCACGGGATTGTGAAGGAAGGAAGCATGGGGGGCACGGGATTGTGAAGGAAGGAAGCATGGGGGGCACGGGATTGTGAAGGAAGGAAGCATGGGGGGCACGGGATTGTGAAGGAAGGAAGCATGGGGGGCACGGGATTGTGAAGGAAGGAAGCATGGGGGGCACGGGATTGTGAAGGAAGGAAGCATGGGGGGCACGGGATTGTGAAGGAAGGAAGCATGGGGGGCACGGGATTGTGAAGGAAGGAAGCATGGGGGGCACGGGATTGTGAAGGAAGGAAGCATGGGGGGGCACGGGATTGTGAAGGAAGGAAGCATGGGGGGCACGGGATTGTGAAGGAAGGAAGCATGGGGGGCACGGGATTGTGAAGGAAGGAAGCATGGGGGGCACGGGATTGTGAAGGAAGGAAGCATGGGGGGCACGGGATTGTGAAGGAAGGAAGCATGGGGGGGCACGGGATTGTGAAGGAAGGAAGCATGGGGGGCACGGGATTGTGAAGGAAGGAAGCATGGGGGGCACGGGATTGTGAAGGAAGGAAGCATGGGGGGCACGGGATTGTGAAGGAAGGAAGCATGGGGGGCACGGGATTGTGAAGGAAGGAAGCATGGGGGGCACGGGATTGTGAAGGAAGGAAGCATGGGGGGCACGGGATTGTGAAGGAAGGAAGCATGGGGGGCACGGGATTGTGAAGGAAGGAAGCATGGGGGGCACGGGATTGTGAAGGAAGGAAGCATGGGGGGCACGGGATTGTGAAGGAAGGAAGCATGGGGGGCACGGGATTGTGAAGGAAGGAAGCATGGGGGGCACGGGATTGTGAAGGAAGGAAGCATGGGGGGCACGGGATTGTGAAGGAAGGAAGCATGGGGGGCACGGGATTGTGAAGGAAGGAAGCATGGGGGGCACGGGATTGTGAAGGAAGGAAGCATGGGGGGCACGGGATTGTGAAGGAAGGAAGCATGGGGGGCACGGGATTGTGAAGGAAGGAAGCATTGAAGGAATGTATGCACAGCCCAGCGAGGTGACTTTTGAGTCGACTCAAAAGCCCAGCGTGCCTCCCGCAGGTGTCGCTTCCACTCCAGCGTGGCTTGTGGGAGCATTTCCGTGAGGAGCTATGTAGATTGAAACAATGCGCATGTGGCATATGTGTGGGGCACGGGGGGATCGGATGGACAAAGGAAAGAATGCACTGCTGTCCCGAGAAGGTGCAGCTTCCACTCCAGTGTGGCTTGATGGAGGATTTCCGTGAGGAGCTAAATGAGAGGACAAGGAAGCATGGGATGCATGGGGACGGTAAATATATGAAAGGCCGAAGGAAGGAATGCTTCCTGCACCAGGTCGAACCTGTTCTTCTTTGATACTTGTTAAGGACGAGTCTTCTTGGCCGAAGGAAGGAATGCTTCCTGCACCAGGTCGAACCTGTTCTTCTTTGATACTTGTTAAGGACGAGTCTTCTTGGCCGAAGGAAGGAATGCTTCCTGCACCTCTCTTTCACACTCTCGAGCACAACGTGTCTCCAGCAGGTGTGAAGCGTCATGGGAGAGGACTGTAAAGGGGAGAGGCGTGAAGAGGTGAGGGTACACGAAGAGGAGGAGGCTTACAGGCAGAGACCACACACAGGTGAGCAGATTATCCCTTGATGTCTCCAAACGGTCCAAAGAAACGAATCATCAAGAAGCAAGGGAGCAGCATGAGAAGGAGCAGCTTACAGGCAGGGAGGGCAGCAGGCTGAGCAGATTGTCTCTTGGCTTTTCCAAACGGTCATAAGGAGAAGAGAGGCGTCAAGAGAAAAGGACCGTAAGAGGAGAGGGAGCAGAGAGCATGAGAGGGTGGCTTACAGGGAGGGATGGCAGCAGGCCGAGCAGATTGTCTCTTAGCTCTTCCAAACGATCCCAAGGAGAGGAGAGGCGTCAAGGGGAGAGGACATACGAGAAGTGGGAGCAGCATGTGAGATAGCAGCTTACAGGCAGAGAGGGCAGGCTTACAGGCAGAGAGGGCAGGCTTACAGGCAGAGAGGGCAGCAGGCCGAGCAGATTGTCTTTTAGCTTCTCCAAACGATCCAAAGGAGAGGCGTCAAGAGGTAAACCGCCAGATGATATGCGGATTGGGTTCACTGCATAGAAGGCAAGGAGGGAGAGAGGGAAGGAAATGGAGGGGGAGAGGGAAGGAAAGGGAGGGGGAGAGGGGAATGAGGGAAGGAGAGAGGGAGGGAGGGAGGGAGGGAGGGAGGGAGGGAGGGAGGGAGGGAGGGAGGGAGGGAGGGAGGGAGGGAGGGAGGGAGGGAGGGAGGGAGGGAGAGAAGGAGGGAGTGGGGGGAAAGGAGGAAGAGAGGGAGGGAGGGGATGGGGAGTAGGAAGGGATGGGAGTGAGGGAGGAAGGGAGGGAGTGAGGGGATGGAGAGGAGGGAGGGAGGGAGGGGAGGGAGGGAGGCGTGATAAGGGATACACCTATGCTATTCATAAGAGGTTTTGTGAAAAAACAGAGAAAAGCGTTGGCATCTTCCTGTGATAAGGCAAAGCTGAAGATGAACGGAGGGGCAGCACCGCTGCAACATAGAAGCTTTCAGATCAAACCATCCATGTTCATGGAAAGCTGAAGACAAACGACAGGAACGGCACTGGCGTTGTGAATGGGCCTCGTAGAGATACTACCAGTCAGCAAACCGTATGGCGTGCCTAAAGAAAGGCTGAATAAGAGCGTTAGGATGTGAGAGCAGAGTAGGTCTTGTGACCGTACCTATGGCAAGGCTGAAGAGGAAAGGGAGAGCTGAGTAGGTCTTGTGACCGTACCTATGGCAAGGCTGAAGAGGAAAGGGAGAGCTGAGTAGGTCTTGTGACCGTACCTATGGCAAGGCTGAAGAGGAAAGGGAGAGCTGAGTAGGTCTTGTGACCGTACCTATGGCAAGGCTGAAGAGGAAAGGGAGAGCTGAGTAGGTCTTGTGACCGTACCTATGGCAAGGCTGAAGAGGAAAGGGAGAGCTGAGTAGGCCTTGCAGGGACGCTCTTCAGCAGAGGGATGAGGGGCTGGAGCGAGGAGCGGGGGAAGCTTCTGAGGCATCTTGAGAGGGAAAGGAGAGTAGGTCTTGTGACCGTACCTATGGCGAGGCTGAAGAGGAAGGGAAGGGCGGAGTAGGCCTCTGCAGGGACGCTCTTGAGCAGAGGGATGAGGGGCTGGAGCGAGGAGCGGGGGAAGCTGGTGGCTGGGGAATAAAAGGAGCAAGGATACGGGGAAGCAATCCGGGGAGAATGGGGAAAGGTTGTGTTACGCAGCTCAGGATGGCCCTCTAGCTCCTGGGAGAACGATCTTTAGCAGAGGAATGAGAAGCTGGAGAGATGAGCCGGGGCAGCTGGTGGGGTGGGAGGGATTGGGTGAGGGAGACAGCTCAGGATAGCCCTCTGGCCTCTAAGAGGACATTCTTCAGCAGAGGAGCAAAGAGGGGGGAAGCTGGTGAGTGGGAGGGTGGGAATGAGAGAAAGTAATTGAGGGAGGATGGGGAAAGAGGATTGGGTCGGAGGGAGGAAAGCGGAGAGGATGGAGAAGGAAGGTAGGCTTGAGCAGAGTACCGAAATACATTTCGATTTGACTCGAAAAGGTTCGGGTTCGGTTCTTGCTCAAGCCTCCCTTTGCTATTCTACCACCACAGCCATTCATGTCCCACCTGACCTGAGTTGATCAGAACGAGAGGCAAGGAGGGGGGTTCCTTGCCGCCACTGCTGCAGCGAGGAGAGCACCAAACGACTCCTCCATGAGAAGGAGAGGATGGCTGGGCGACTACTCGTGCTCCGGTAAGACCTAGTGCCTGCCCAATACCTAGTACCCACCACCATACCACACAAGACAACCTTCGTTTCTCACTCACCTGAGTTGATGAGTACGGGAGTGAGTGAGAGGCAAGGAGGAGTTTCGCGCCGCCACTGCTGCAGCGAGGAGAGCACCGAACGACTCCCCCACGAGAAAGAGCGGCCGGCTGAGCCACTGCTCTTGCTCCCGTAATGCCTAGAACCACCTGATGCCTGCCTACTACCCAACTTCCGTTTCTGACCTGAGTTGATGAGGACGAGAGTGAGAGGCAAGGAGGGGTTCCTCGCCGCCACTGCTGCAGCCAGCAGAGCACCGAATGACTCCCCCACTAGAAAGAGCGGGCGGTTGGGCGACTGCTCGTGCTCTTGTAATACCTCAGATTCCACAAGAGACAAGAGGCCTGAGGAAAGGATGGCGAAGGATGGGCGAGGAGAGAAGGGTGGTATGGGGAGAAGGTGCATGCATGCGACCTGGGTTGGTATGGCTGGCCAACTGCTCGTGCTCGACTGTAATACCTCAGCCTCCACAAGAGACAAGAGGCCTGAGGAATGGATGGGGAAGGCGGGGCGAGGGGTGGGTGGGAGGGTTATGGGGAAGAAATAATGTGCATGCCTCCTGGGTTATAGACAGAAAACGGCTCGGCGACTGACATGCTCTTGAGGCGATTTTTGAGTCGACTCAAAAATAGACAGAAAACGGCTCGGCGACTGAGTATGTATGCTATTGCAAGATCTCAGCATCCACGAAAGAAAGTAGACCTGGCTGGAACAATGATGGGGGAAGTGGGGCGAGGGGCGAGGGTTGAGGGGCGAGGGGTGAGAGGGTTATGGGGAAGGAAGGCGTGCATTCATGCTGGGTTATAGACAAAAAAACCGTGACTGCTTGTGCGACTGCTTGTGCTCCCGTAGAACCTCAGATTCCACCAGGGACAATAGGCCTGGAAAATGATGGAGGGTGGGGTGGGGGTAGGGGGATGTATGGGAAAGAGGTGCATGCGCCAGCCTGTAGCCAACCCCATCCAAACACCCACAGATGCATGCATGCTTTGGAACTTAGAGCGTACCTTTGAAGTCCGGTCAGACAATGGTATTTGCAGGCACGCTACTTCGAGGGACAATGGAAGGAGAGGGGAGTAACTCCGACAGTGCAGGCACGTTACTTCGAGGGACAATGGAAGGAGAGGGGAGTAACTCCGACAGTGCAGGCACGTTACTTCGAGGGACAATGGTATTTCTTCGAGGAACTCAGAGGGGAGTAACTCCGACAGTGCAGGCACGTTACTTCGACAGCCGCCCCAGGGACTTGTAATGCAGCTTGAGGCCATACCATCCGAACACCTACACTACACGTGCATGAATGCACGCACACAGACTTCAAGCATACCTTGAAAGTCGGTCCGATCGGATGGAGATTCATCGCGGAGTAGCTGCAAACCTGTAGAAATCACTTGAGCAAATAGGATCGAGACTGAAAAAATGCTTCCAGAAATTCAAGCGGATCTCAAAATCTTCAAACTCAAAAGAACCCTTATTCGCAAACTAGTTTCGGCCTTCGGGACAGAACCCCGCTAGGCCTTCATCAGTGCTGCTTACAGGTTCAAACAAGAAAGAAAGGTCTCGGACAGAGGCTAGCTAAGTACCATGCTCCTGCCCTCGAGATCTACTTCATTGTACACCAACTACCCAAATTGCAAATCATACGCAATTTGCCTTCACGAAAAAGTCTTCAAACGACTTGATCAGTTCGGTAACCGCGCACGCACAAGTAACCTTTGCAGGTTACGGGAACACTTCCAAGCAGTTAAAATCCTCTCCACAAAGAATCCGCGTGAGCTGAGACGATTTTTGAGGCGCCTCAAAAATTGTCACAGACTTCAAGCATACCTTGAAAGTCGGTCTGATCGGATGCAGGCATGTGAATTCAAACAGCAGCCCCAGGGACTTCTGATGCAGCTTGAGGCCATAGCCAAGGCAACCCCAAACACCCACAGACGCATACACAACACACCCGTAGACTTGGTGCATACCTACCTTGGAAGTCGGTTCGATCGGATAATGGTATGTGCAGGCATGTGACTTCAAACAACCGTCCCAGGGACTTGTGATGTCAGCTTGAGCCCCTAGCCAACCCCATTCAAACAACCACAAATGCACACACACTGACAGACTGGGATAGCATACCTTGGAAGTCGGTCCGATCAGACAGTGGTATGTGCAGGCACGTGACTTCAAACAGCCGCCCCAGGGACTTGTGATGCAGCTTGAGCCCATAGCCGACCCCATCCAAACACCCACAGATGCATGCACGCACGCTCTGAAACTTCAAGCCTACCTTGAAAATCTGTTCGGTCAGACAGCGGTATGTGCAGGCACGTGACTTCAAACAGCCGCCCCAGGGACTTGTGATGCAGATTGAGGCCGTAGCCAACCCCATCCACGCCTGGAAGAAACAGCAGCCGCGGAAGGGATTTTCTGCTTTGCTGCTGCTGCTGCTCTGTTGTTGGTGGCCTGGCGTCTAACGGGCAGAAGAACCGTGGGACTGCTGCTGCTGCCGTTTCTGTGCCGCTGCTGCTGCTGCCTGTTCTGTTTTGGCTGCTGCTGGTGCTCCGGCCGGCGCTGCTCCTGCTGTTTCCTTCTCTGCTTCCTCCCAGATCAGGTAGGAGAGGCTTCAAAGCGTCTGGAATACGGAGTAACTGTTCTAGAAGGTTCAGCGACTCTGGAGATGGTAACGGTAACGGTAACTGAAACGGAACCTGGAACGGAAATGGTAACTGTAACCTATTCCCATCCGCCATCCGCCCGCCATTATTACTTCCCGAAGCCCCTATTCTGGCATTTTCCCCAACAACCCCCTTATCACCTGGCGCTCCGGCCGTCCCGCTATTAGACGCTCCATCGGATTCGATAAAAACTCGCAACTCGCCAAGGTAATCGAATATATCCGGCGCCACGTACTCGCGTCGAACCTGCTCCACTGTAGCATACCTATTAATTAGCTCATTCACCTGTCGCCGCAACTCGGCGTCTTCCTCATTGCTGCCCGACAATGGACCATCCGCGTCTGTCGCCGCGGACGCCGGAATTCCTCCCCCCTGCCCGTTCACCTTAACAGATGGTTCCCTTTCCGCTATAGGAGACCCAGCCTGAGAATTCGAGCCGACTCTGTCGTTTTCCCGGTTACGATTGGTTGGATCGTTGGCAGCATTTGTCGCCAGGGGTGCAGACGAAACAGAAATTCGCGACGGAGAATTGGACGAAGAGGACGGATTGGATGAACCTACGGATCCGCTGGCGGAATCTGACCCGTTAATTGCTCTGATTGACAACAAATTGCTCTTAAGACCGAACCTCCGGGTCTTTAGCCTCCGAACCGGCACCGCATTGCTACTACTAATGGTACTATTGGTTCTAGTTACGATCAACTGCGAGTTCAAGTAGGCTGCACGAAAGGCTCTTCGACTTTGAGCTGCCTGACTTGTAATTGCGTCAAAAGACGTCGTTGCATGCGTCCCTAACAGAAGAATGCCTGGCTGCGGTGATGGCGATAGGGTTGGAAGGTGCATTTCGACGAATGATCGGAATGAAGGCGGTGCGAGGAAAACGAACAGGCCGCTAAAAAGCAAATTCAAAACGCCCACCCGGGTTTCTTCTCTCCAAAAACGTTACGAATCAGCACGGAATAGTGTTGTATTGCTGGGGAAGCTGTGTTATAGTAAGAAAACACAGAATAGTGGTGTGGTGAAGGTGGTCACCGAATAGTAATGTATGAACCCGCTGGATTTGCTTGAGTGAGTTAGTTGTATGTATGGGAGACTGACTGGTCGGATCGGGAGGGTGATGACTGTAGGGAAACTGTAGGTCCGAACTCCGCCAGCCCGCTCCAAGCAGTAGACATCTTCGCATAGTGGTGGTTACCATACCCTCGCAGCGGCTGGTAACTGGTTCATCTCCTCGACGAAGACTTGTTTGTTTTACGAACAAGCGAAACTGTTACTCATGAGACCAACGAAGAAATGTTTTCAAGGAAGACCACACACCCCGACGAAGCTCTACACACCCCCAGGCTGGAAGCAAACCCTTGAGTCATGTTCTTCCCGCCAACACCTGTACGACACCCACCACAAAAACTAGGCGTGGAGTTTCCTCATTCCCCAGAGGTGCTGCCGGCTTCGGCTCGGTCATCAGCAGGTTCGGAAACAGTTTGTTCTGCTCATATAGACATTCCACGTGTACTGAAATCAGTATGGAAAACGAGTCCTTCCTTGACGAAGTCGGCGTCACCTTGAAGATTATATTTTGATGTTCAAAATAGCCGAGGCACATCACTCGAACTCTGCGAGCACATCTAGTCCTCTCTTCTCACCTCCCCGTGCACTTCCGCAAGCCTCGCTAGTCTCTCGTTTTAGCGTGAAACATACGAGTAGGCTAGGGCTTTTGGACTGAATACTAAAAAAGGGACGACTTCTCAACGAGTATTTCGTCTCGGCTGGTCTGCAGTGGCATGTCTGGGCAACTCACGTTGCATGGAGCCTTTTCTCAGAAACGGTGACATTTCTTCTATCACTAAGGCATTATGTCGTCAATGTGTTTTGTTATAATAAGTGTCATAGGCATCAGTACAGCGAAGATGGTTTTTTGTTTTTTGGCTTCTAGCGCTCCTGCTTCATGCAACCCTAACGACGTCCGTCATCCATCAACCCCCGTTAGTTTCCAGCCCAAGGCTATAAGTAAACGCACCACTTCTTTGAGAAATTAAGATCACGCAGTTGTGGCACTCACCACGTCATCGCCGTCCTGCTTCCACCTTTTCTGACCCGTTAATCATTATTTCAGGTCGCGGGTATCAGTGGCTGCACCTTCTCTCCGGGAAAGCAACCCTTCCCTCTTCTCCCTCCTGCACTCCGTGGCTCAACCTGAACTGCCGGCGAAGAAACAGCAGCAGGAGGTTCTGAAACGACGGGTTACCACCTCAGCACATCCATCTCACTGTAGTCACGCTCCATTAAATCACACGAGCGACAGCGCAGCTCGTGACAGCAACATCAACAGCATTAACAAGATTAATAGTAACAGCATTGGCAAGAGCAACAGCAAGAGCAACAACGCAGAACAGACACACAGCGATGCAGTGGCTCGCTATGCTCTCCATAATACAGTCTTTCGAGCCGACATTCTTCGATCTGACAGCAGCAGCGCAGCTCACCCGAGCAATGATTCACCAGCCTTCCCAATCGCAAACGGTCCCAGGAGTTTCCCCAGTGCCAGGGGCAATGGCTCCGATGCCAGAGTGTTGCCGAGTTTAAGGAGTTCCCTTTGTGACAGAGATTCACCCGGTGACAGGAACTCGCCTGGCGACAGGACTTTACCAAAAGATGAGAATGTGTCTAGAGACAGAAATTCTGAGGATTTCGCCCAAGCTAGGAGCCATAGAAGCCTGCCTCCTTCCCTGCCTTCATCCCGGGTGCTCGTTCTGAGTGAAAGTGAAGGAGCTGGAGGGGTAGGGAGGGTAGGAAGGGTAGGGATGGGGGGAGGGGATAGTGTTGCAGGCTGGCAGCAGCAGCAGGGCAGGAGGAAGAAGAGGCAGAGGGCGTTGAGCAGCAGTGAGGGAGTGTGCTCTGCTTCAATTCCTAAGCGGCAAGCTCACTTTAACCACTGTAAGTGTTTCTCTTTGTTGTTTTCTTTGTCTGTTGCGTTTGGTTAGGTTTACCAGTGCACCCAGCAACCTCTCAGATGCTGCACGGATGATGCGTGCATACCTACTAGTGATTCAATTTGAGTCGACTTGAGTATGCTGCTGCTCCCACTGCAGCTGCTATACGGCATGCTTGCTTTGTCTGCACGGTGTTTCGAGCTGCTTGAGATTCCACTCATTTCATCTGAATGTTTGAAGGTGTAATCTGTAGGCTATAGTGGGTTTAGCCTTAGGGGGTACAGCTTTGTTAGGGTTTCCTACTTGTATCCCCCTCCTACCTAGTTTCATCCATTCTCGTTCTATTCTAGATTCTAACAACACACACCCACAGTCCAGCCCACCCACACACACATGTCATCCCACACACACCCACAGTACAGCCCACCCACACCCACATGTCATCCCACATGCTCCCACATGCCATCCCACACACACCCACATGCCATCCCACACACACCCACAGTCCAGCCCACCCACACCCACATAGTATACCTCACACACCCACAGTCCAGCCCACCCACACACACATGTCAACCCACACACACCCACAGTCCAGCCCACCCACACACACATGTCAACCCACACACACCCGCAGTCCAGCCCACCCACACACACATGTCATCCCACACACACCCACAGTACAGCCCACCCACACCCACATGTCATCCCACATGCTCCCACATGCCATCCCACACACACCCACATGCCATCCCACACACACCCACATGCCATCCCACCCACACACACATGTCATCCCTCACACACCCACAGTCCAGCCCACCCACACACACATGCCATCCCACACACACCCACAGTCCAGCCCACCCACACCCACATATCATCCATCACACACCCACAGTCCAGCCCACCCACACCCACATTTCATCCCACACCCACCCATAGTACAGCCCACCCACACCCACATGTCATCCCACATGCTCCCACATGCCATCCCACACACACCCACATGCCATCCCACGCACACCCACATGCCATCCCACCCACACACACATGTCATCCCTCACACACCCACAGTCCAGCCCACCCACACACACATGCCATCCCACACACACCCACAGTCCAGCCCACCCACACCCACATATCACCCATCACACACCCACAGTCCGGCCCACCCACACCCACATAGTATACCTCACACACCCACAGTCCAGCCCACCCACACACACATGTCATCCCACACACACCCACAGTACAGCCCACCCACACCCACATGTCATCCCACATGCTCCCACATGCCATCCCACACACACCCACATGCCATCCCACACACATGCAGACGGCATGGGTTGGTGGGGAGATTCAGCTGTGGGTGTAGATGTGGAGGAGGTTGGCATGAGTGGAACCACATGGGAGGGGCATGGCTTCTTGTTTCATGACCCTGAGGGGTTTTGAGGTGATAGTGATTTCGAATGACAGTATATTGAAAAGTAGATGCAGACAGCGTGGATGGTTGGGAGATTGAGTTGTGGGTGTAGATGTGGAGGAGGAGGGGATGAGTAGAACCACATCGGAGGGGCATGGCTTCTTGATTTACGACGCTGGTAGGACTTGAGGTGATAGTGATTTTGAATGACTAAGCAGTGGATGGCAGATGCGGAAGGCACAAGATGGAGAACGATTCGGCAGCAGGAGTGGATGAGGTGGGGTTGTTAATAACAACATGGGAGGGCATGTTGTTTCGTTCTGTTGATGGGTTGTTTGGGTCGTGTTGCAACCACATGGGTCGAGCATGGCTTTCCGCTTGTGATGGCTTGTCTCCAGTCTCCGATGCGGGCTTCTCTTCAAGGCTTTCAAAGTCGCCTAATGATTTGACACGTGCATTTACAACAGTATTGCGAGCCCACAACTATAATGGCAATTTTCCAGAAAGATAGAAAGTTGGAAAATAGTTCTGAGAAGAGACATCCAAATGTGTGCCTACAGCTTGAAAATGAGTCCCTGGTACGGAAACATGATTGGTGTAGCCATAACACCATTGGCTCTTTTCCCCATATGCAGCTCATGTTGGATTCCGTAATGCCTATCACGAAGCAACCCATAGCGATTCACAAATCATGTAGTTGCTGACTATTTTCTGCGTAGTTGCTAACACGCGTACTATCAGAACTAGGAAGTAGTTACTTCAAATACCAGCTCGAAATGGGCTCAGTGTGCCTAGGCGACTCGCCTCTTCGATGGCGTCGGCTTTCTCTAGTCCTCGCTCCTCTCCTAGTCTTCTTCTCCGTCTCGCCGTGTTCGGTTCGTGCCTATTTTCGCCCGTATGAGCCTATTCACGCCGTCGTGCCTCGGGCTTTAAGTCCCGAAGACGTTCCGCTCCCGTTCTGGGGCACGAGTGTGACTAGCATGAAAGTTTCCATGAACGCGTCGCTAGTGCGTGAGTATAACGGGGACGACAAGAACAACATTATCGTAGATATCGAGGGTCAGGGCCCCATTCCGTTCTCTCTGTCGCGGTGGAACCAAGGGGATTTCGCGCCGCGGCTCGCTCCCAGGCATCCGTACTCGCAGACGAATCTCGGCATTCCCGGGGGAAAAGATGGTTACCAGTCGGATAATCCCATGGAATTCGCACTGCAGGTGATATTATGATAATAAACAATTTCTTAGAAGATTTTAATACTTTCTATCTCTTTTGGGCTTCTTTTCCTGTTCAGCAGCTATTTCACTTCTTTCATTGTTGGGGAAAGTTTACTAATCGGCCAAGGTCTGTCCGAACTTGCCTCTCAGGCTTGGCGTCCAAGCCTGGATAAGGGTGTGGTGCTCGGCTCGGTGGCTCAAAATGGGCAGCAGTGGAACGATGGCGCACCGTTTTTCTACGGTACAGTGGTGCGTGTTGTCGTTCCAGCCAGCCTCTCCCATCCCATCCCATCCCACCCCACCCCATCCCATCCCATCCCACCCCACCCCATCCCATCCCATCCCATCCCATCCCATCCCATCCCGTCCCATCCCGTCCCACCCCATCCCACCCCATCCCATCCCATCCCATCCCAACCCATCCCATCCCATCCCATCCAATCCCATCCCATCCCATCCCATCCCATCCCATCCCATCCCATCCCATCCCATCCCATCCCATCCCATCCCATCCCATCCCGTCCTTCCCTTCCTATCCCATGTCGTTTCTGTTAGAAATAGTCAGTCAACACTTTGTACTATATTCTATATCGGTTAGGTTACTTTGTAGGTTGGGTGTAGATTTGTAATCCCAACCCTATCTGGTTGGGATTCCCTCGTAATCCTGCAAATCTGCCAACTCACCAATTGTAGATTTGCTAGGATTCCCATCCCATCCTTTCCCTAGTTTTGCTCAACCCAACCCTGTTTGTACTTAAGGCCTAGTGCCTTCCTTATCAAGCAATCAGTTCAGTTCCAATTCAATCATGGTATCGAGCTAGTAAATTCCGCTCACGCGGAATCCGATCCTTGGCGTCCCGATGGTTCTCTCCTTTTAGGCTATGCCTATTTCGGTTCCCGGCTCCTACGCTTAGCGTTTTTCAGAATCTTCACATCGTCGCTCCGGTCAAGCGCGCATTCGGCTTCCTTCATCGCGCATCTCGTTTTTCAACGGCGACATTCTCAGCTTTCGACTTCCTTCATCGTAAGCTTCTGGTTTTTATATCTCCGTGGCAATTTTCGCATCTTCTTAACTTCGAACAGGTTTTCAGCGGCGCAGCGGAACAGGTTTTCAGCGGCGCAGCGGAACAGGTCCAGCGGCGCAGCGGAACAGGTTTTCAGCGGCGCAGCGGAACAGGTTCAGCGGCGCAGCGAAACAGGTTCAGCGGCGCAGCGGAACAGGTTCAGCGGCGCAGCGGAACAGGTTCAGCGGCGCAGCAAAACAGGTTCAGCGGCGCAGCAGAACAGGTTCAGCGGCGCAGCAGAACAGGTCCAGCGGCGCAGCAGAACAGGTCAGCGGCGCAGCAGAACAGGTCAGCGGCGCAGCAGAGAAGCGGAACAGGGGCAGCAGCGAAGCAGAACAGGGGGCATTGGCGAAGCAGTATATCAGGGTATAGTACGGGCATTCTATTGACAAAATCGCGTTTCGAACTTCCTCAATTTCCAAAATCACCCGAACTCCGCTCCGCTTCGCTCCGCTACGTATCGGAGACTTTAGCGATGCGCTCCGCGCGAAATGGCAACTTCAACTTCCACTCTCGTCGGAAACCTCATCATCCTTAACCTCGCTCCCAACGGTACGAGCACCAATTTCGGGGAGTGGTGCTATGGAGTGGAGAAGCACCTCCTTAGCTCGGAGCTCAAGGGGATTTGCCTCAAGGACATCCTCCTCAATCGCGACAAGGGGAAGATGCCTCTCCCTCCCGATCCTCTCGGCGAAGGCGCCACTGCCACAGCCAAGCTTGCTTTCGACGCTAAAACCACCAAGTATGAGACGGACTTCAGTCTCTGGGAGCAGGCGGATGCGGCAGTGATTAGGGTTTTCATCACCACCACCCCAGTCGAGTTACTCAAGTCCTACCGCACCTTCCGCTCTGCGCATGACATTTGGAAGTACCTCCAGGATCGCTTTCATGACAAAACTGCCGTGGGAGTTGCAATCCTCATTCCTCGCATGTTCCAAATCCGCCTTGAGGAATGCCCGGGCATGGCAGACTACATCTCTGAAATCCGCAACATCCATGAGGAGCTCAAGGACATTGGGATCACCTTCCCCGAACAGGCACCTGCTGCTGGGCTTCTCGTCGGACTCACCCCGGCCTACAACGTCACCAGTTCCATGCTCAAGCAGTTCCCCACCAAGGAACTCACCTTCGAGAAAGTCGCTTCGGCCCTTCTCTCTGCCGAAAAGGACCTTGCAGCCCAGGCATCCGTCAATGCTGTGCGCTATTCCCCTGGCATCCCATTTCGTTCCCAGCAAGGCCAGAGGCGCAACTCCTTTCCCCCATGCTAGTATCTCATTAGGAAGGGTCCACGTGCAGGGCAGAAATGCAACGGCACCAACCACCCTGAGGCAACTTGCTTCAAGAAGCGAGATGACGAGTGGTATGACGTCCACGGTGTCTCCAAAGACAAGCGCCCTCCCAACTGGGCACCACCCCGTCGCGTGAACCAGGTCAAGGCAGTGGAGGAACCTGCTCAGGCATTTGCTAGTGCCCCATCTGATGTTCGCCTTAACCTGTTGTTCTCTTGTGCTGGTCTTATTAATGAGAAGGGGTCGCAGTACATCGGTGTTTCAACCACACAGGGAATTGAGTTCATACTAGACAGTGGTGCCACCCACACAGTGCTTAAAAACCAAACTGCCTTCGTTCCCTACCAGGCTCCCACCTCACTCCTTGGAGCCGATTCTAGCTTCTCCATCCAATGCCATGGGTCCTCCACAGTTTCCTGTCCAGCTTTCCCATCCGGCACAGTCACTGGCATCTGTACCCCTACCCTCCGCTACAACCTTCTTGCACAGCGGGAAATCCAACACGCAGGCGTAATCACCATCTTTCCCAATGATGTTGACTACTGTGACATGTTTGACGCCAAAACCGGACTCCATCTTGCCCGCTTCACCCTCAACTCCAACAACCTGTACACACTAGTTGTACCTCCCGTTCAAACATGCTCCCTCACCAACCTTCCGCTTCCATCCTCAGACTCCCCCTCATGTCACTGCCGCCTCCTCAATGACAAGACTATGCTATTTCATAACCGCCTCGGCCACATCAACTTCCGCGCACTTTCAGACCTTGCCACCAAACAACTCCTTCATGGGCTGCCCGCCTCACTTCCACAACCCCCCTCTCTTTCTGGACCACCTTGCCTTGACTGTGCACAGAGCAAGCTTCGGGAACAGCCCCATCCTCCCACTGAGTCCACCTCTACCGCACCTCTTGATCGCGTACACATGGACCTTTGGGGTTCAGCTCCTGTTCGTTCTCGTGGCGGACACTTCTACTTCCTTGTCATCGTTGATGACTATTCCCGCTATGTGTCCGTTCACCTTCTCACCGCCAAGTCTGAAGCCCCAGCCATTATCATGGAATGGGCAAGGCAGGCTCATTCACACTTCAAAACCAAAATCAAGATTCTTCACTCTGACGGTGGCGGTGAATTCCGCAACAACACTCTCAAAGCTTTCTGCTCTACTGAGGGTATTCGTCAGACCTTCACCCTCCCAGACAGCCCTCAACAGAACGGTGTTGCTGAGAGCCGAAACCGCATCCTGGTGCAGATTGCTCGCTGCCTCCTCACTCATGCTTCCGCCCCTCCCTCTCTTTGGGGATACGCCATGCTCCATGCTGCCGCCCTCCACAATCTCCATCCTCATCCTCACCACACCCACACCACCCCCGCAGAGCTGTGGACGGGTCAAAAGCCGTCCGTCCGCCCTCTTCGTGTATGGGGGTGCACTTCCTATGTTCTCCTCAACTCCCAAGCCCGTCGTGCAGCTGGCGGCAAGCTTGCTCCGAAAACAATCACGTGCGTGTACCTCGGGCACAACTCGGACTCGCCAGACTACCTCTTCCTCCATCCTACCACCAACAAACTTTATCGCAGCCGAGATGTTTTCTTCGATGAATCCCACCCGTTCTACCCCTCCTCCACAGTTTCTCCTTCTCCTCCGCCTCCTTCTCTTACTTGGGCTGACTTTGACAGCCTTCCTCCTGCCACCACTCCATCTCCTCCTCTTCCCGCTCCCTCCACAGTTTCCGACCCCCCGTCACCCGCTTCCCCTTCCAGCACCACGCAGTCTCCCCCGCTCCTTCCCACCCCCGAGCCCATTCCTCTCAAAACCTACCAACGCCGTCCTCCTGCTGCTGCTCCTCCTCCTGATCCAGCTCCTCCTCCTGATCCAGCTCCTGCTCCTGATCCAGCTGTTGTTCCTGATGCTGCCACTACACCTGCTGCTTCTCCTCCTCCAGCTCCGCCTCCCTCCCCCATCGCTGGTCGCACCCGCTCGCGCAAAGCTCCCAAGCCTCGTTCCCTTTCCATTCGTGTCTCTCTCAATCCTCCTCCTGTCGGGGGTGATTATTCGCTCATGCCCTCCCTTCTTGAGGACAGACATGAGGAGTTGATTGAGATTGACTCAGCCATACACGCACTCTGCTCCCTCTTTCCAGATATCGCAGAATCTCCCACCCTCAACTTCTCGGACAACCCCTCCATCCCCACACCTCTCACCTATGCTGAAGCAGTTTCTGGTCCTCACGCCGCTCAGTGGCTAGGGGCCATTGTCGCAGAGTGTGAGGCCTTCATTCACACAGGAACTTTCACAGATGTCTCTCCTCCCTCCGGCGTCAACATTGTGAAGGGAAAATGGGTTTTCCGGGTGAAACAACTTCCAGGCGAATTTCCCGTCTTCAAAGCCCGGTACTGTGCCAAGGGATTTACCCAAAAGCATGGACTGGACTTCTTTGAGACATTCTCTCCCACCGCCAAACCTCCCACACTGCGCACCCTTCTCGATGTTGCCGCTCGAGATGACATGGAGGTTGACTGCATGGATGTGTCCTCTGCGTTTCTGCAAGGGATCCTTCGAGAGGAAATCTACATGGAGCGGCCCGAAGGATTTCCAGCTCCTTTTCCACCAGGCACTGTATGGAAGCTGAATCGACCAGTCTATGGCCTCAAGCAAGCACCCCGGGAATGGCACAACAAGCTCAAGAGCACCTTAGGGTCCCTCGACTTTCACCCATCCACCTCTGACCCCAGCCTCTTCATCCGAGCAACACCATCTCGCTTCTTCATCTTGGTTTATGTCGATGACATGATCCTTGTCACCAAGGATCAGACTGAGCTGGCAGCAGTCAAAACCGCACTTGGTGAGAAGCTGGCTATGAAGGATCTTGGGAAACTGACGAACTATCTGGGCATGGAAATCACACGTGATCGCACGGCCCGCACCATCACCCTCTCGCAGAAGTTCTACATCAACAACGTTCTGACCAGGTTTAAGATGCAGGAAGCAGCTTCAATGCCCACCCCACTCTCTCTGCAGCACCAACTCACTGCACCCTCTGTTCCCTCAGCTGAGCCCTGTGATGAGGCTTACCCCGAGCTCGTCGGTTCCCTCATGTACGCGATGATGTGCACTCGACCAGATTTGGCCTATCCAGTCAGTGTCCTGTCTCGCTACGTTGCACCTGGTCGCTTCACGAGCCACCACTGGTCTGCCGCCAAGCGGGTCCTCTCGCTATCTCAAAGGCACACAGGACTATGTGCTCACTCTTGGCGGCTCTTCCCCTGTTCGCCTTGAGGGGTACAGTGACTCGTCCTATGCTGATGACCAGAGTGATCGGCGCTCTTCCCAAGGATATTGCTTTACCCTTGGCAGTGGGGTTATCAGTTGGCGCTCCACTCGGTCATCTTCCGTCTCACTGTCGACCTGTGAGGCAGAGCTGTATGCCGGGACCATGGCTGCCCAAGAGGCCCGTTGGCTCTCCTTCTTGCTGGCAGAACTTGGGTATCCTCAACCAGCCCCAACGCTTTGGTGTGACAACGAGAGCACCATTCATCTCACAAAGGACCCCGTCTTCCACGGCCGCACCAAGCACATTGAGGTCCGTCACTACTTTCTTCGTGAGCTGGTGCAGCGCGAGCAGCTGAAGGGTGAACACATTGCCTCCGACTGCAACCTTGCTGACTTGTTTACCAAGTCTCTTGTTCGCCAAGACCACTACCGCCTCCTCTCGTCCATGGGTGTTGGGCCGCCATTTGGCTGAAGTGTTGTCAGCCTAGGGGGTGTGTTAGAAATAGTCAGTCAACACTTTGTACTATATTCTATATCGGTTAGGTTACTTTGTAGGTTGGGTGTAGATTTGTAATCCCAACCCTATCTGGTTGGGATTCCCTCGTAATCCTGCAAATCTGCCAACTCACCAATTGTAGATTTGCTAGGATTCCCATCCCATCCTTTCCCTAGTTTTGCTCAACCCAACCCTGTTTGTACTTAAGGCCTAGTGCCTTCCTTATCAAGCAATCAGTTCAGTTCCAATTCAATCAGTTTCAACTTCATGTCATTTCAACCCATGTCATTCCATGTCATGCCATGCCATGCCATGCCATGCCATCCAATGTCACCACAATCAACCCAAACCCACTCCCACTCGTTTCTTCTTACCCCCTCCCACGTGTTCCCCTGCTCAGTCATGCATATACGACTCACACGGTTATGGTTACAGGTACGAGCTCTTTGACTCACATAGTTACGTTACGTTCACACAATAGTTACAGTTACACTTAATTACGTTAATACGTAAGACACTCTTGGATTAGCTGGTGTTCCCCGATTATTGGGTTTGTGCAGATACTTTTGTCCTTCGTTCCACCGTTACTCTTGCTGCCGTTCCATAGTTTTTGCCAATTCTCTGCACACAACATAAGCACCAATGAGCATGCTTATCCCTCCTGGATGCTTATCCCTCATGGATGCTTATCCTCCTGGATGCTTATCCCTCATGGATGCTTATCCTCCTGGATGCTTATCCCTCATGGATGCTTATCCTCCTGGATGCTTATCCCTCATGGATGCTTATCCTCCTGGATGCTTATCCCTCCTGGATGCTTATCCCTCATGGATGCTTATCCTCCTGGATGCTTATCCCTCATGGATGCTTATCCCTCCTGGATGCTTATCCCTCATGGATGCTTATCCCTCCTGGATGCTTATCCCTCATGGATGCTTATCCTCCTGGATGCTTATCCCTCATGGATGCTTATCCCTCCTGGATGCTTATCCCTCATGGATGCTTATCCTCCTGGATGCTTATCCCTCATGGATGCTTATCCCTCCTGGATGCTTATCCCTCATGGATGCTTATCCTCCTGGATGCTTATCCCTCATGGATGCTTATCCTCCTGGATGCTTATCCCTCATGGATGCTTATCCTCCTGGATGCTTATCCCTCATGGATGCTTATCCCTCCTGGATGCTTATCCCTCATGGATGCTTATCCTCCTGGATGCTTATCCCTCATGGATGCTTATCCCTCCTGGATGCTTATCCCTCATGGATGCTTATCCTCCTGGATGCTTATCCCTCATGGATGCTTATCCCTCCTGGATGCTTATCCCTCCTGCGTCGTTCCAAAAACATGTAAATGGATACTTATCCCTCCCCGCATGCTCCCCCCTTCCCCTCCTCCCCACATTCCCCCTCCTCCTCTCCTTTTTCTCTCTCTCTGTCTGCGCCTTCCTTGTTCACGTTCATGCCTTTGTATCACGTGCACACAGCATGACGACAGGGGAGTTTGGCAACGACAATCCCAACATTGACAGTACGTGTTCTCATTGCTCCATGCATCCATGCGCGCGTTTGGTTGAACCATGCGTGCACACAGCATGACGACAGGAGAGTTTGGCAACGACAATCCCAACACTGACAGTACGTCACATGCTCCTTGCATGCCTGTTGTTACCCTGTTGCAAATTTATGAGTTGAATCTCTGAGTCTTCAAGCCTTCAACCAACCTTTGAGGCGCCTCAAAAGTCTTCAAGCCTTCAACCAACCTGTGTGCTCTTCCTGGCTTGCTGGCTTGCTGGCTTGAAACGCATTGTTGTCCACAAGACCACGTTCCATTTCCATGTCTACATCGCCCTTCCATTTTTTATTTCGCCCTTGCTGCAGCCATCACTTCCTTCTATCAAATCTTCTGCTGCGTTTTGTGTAACCCAACAACGCAGTTGCTATTGGGAAGGCGGGCGAGCAGGACGAGGGTGTGATTGATGTCTCAATCGCATGGTTCCCCTACCACCAAGGTACGTACGTGTGAGTGCGTGGGAAGGGGGAAGGGGAAAGGGGTAATTTCCACTCCAATACATAGTCAACACCTCAATTGCTATTGGGTTGGGAAGGCGGACGAGCAGGACGAGGGTGTTATTGACGTCTCAATTGCATGGTTCCCTTATCACCAAGGTGCGTGTGTGTGTGCTGGTGGTACGATAAAGTAACCACCAGTGAGTAGTAGAATGGTTAATCGTTTACTCGCTATTGGGAAGGCGGGCGAGCAGGGCGAGGGTGTTATTGGCGTCTCCGTTGCATGGTTTCCTTTCCTCCAAGGTACGTGTATGAGAGGGTGTGTGAGAGGGTGTGTGAGAGGGTGTGTGAGAGGGTGTGTGAGAGGGTGTGTGAGAGGGTGTGTGAGAGGGTGTGTGAGAGGGTGTGTGAGAGGGTGTGTGAGAGGGTGTGTGAGAGGGTGTGTGAGAGGGTGTGTGAGAGGGTGTGTGAGAGGGTGTGTGAGAGGGTGTGTGAGAGGGTGTGTGAGAGGGTGTGTGAGAGAGTGTGTGAGAGGGTGTGTGAGAGGTGTGTGAGAGGGTGTGTGAGAGAGTGTGTGAGAGGGTGTGTGAGAGGGTGTGTGAGGTGGTAACCACCACTGTATAGTCAGACTAACACCTCTATTGCTAGTGGGAGAGCAGGGCGACGGTGTGATTGACGTCTCCATCGCATGGTTTCCTTACCACCAATGTACGTTTGTGTGTGTTTGTGTTGTGATCGTACGGTAACCACCACTGTATGGTATAATAATCAATCTATCAGTCGTACTTGTGAAGGCGGACGAGCAGGATTAGGGCAGCATTGACGCCTCGTCGTCTCCATTGCATGGTTCCCTTACCACCACCAAGATGTGTGTGTGGACGGGCAGGGCGGGTGTGTGGATGCTCTGTTGCAGCTGGAGGATGCGCATAGGTCCCGTATGACCTGTAGCTGGTGCATCTTGCAGGCTGGACTGCTGGGTATGTGGATGCTCCTTCGCAGCTGGAGAAGGGAGCAGACGCCAAGTGGGCCACCAACGCGTCTCACTCCCCCAACCTCCCCCGCCAATCTCTCGCTGTTCCCTCTCAGGCTGGACCGCTGGGTACGTGGATGCTCCTTCTCAGCTAGAAAAGGGAGCAGAGGCGAAATGGGCTACCAACGCCTCCTATTCGCCCAACCTCCCCTCCGATCTCTCCCGCATCATGCGGTGGGACGGGCGGGGAGCCAGTCTCGAGCTGCCAGGTGTCAACCCGTCACAGGACGGCATGCTCTTCCTCACCTCGTGAGTGGGCGGCGGTTCTTGGATTTTCACATGTTTTTACTAGACTCAAAGATCGCCACATTACATCGGAAAAGGGAGAAAAAAAAAAAAAAAAAAAAAAAAAAAAAAAAAACTGCATGCCACCTGTTCTGCAGGCCCTCCGTTGTCCCATTTTTCAAACAAGTAAGTCTTCGTTCTTTTTGTTTTCCCCATGTCCACATCTAATGTGAGCAGTACGGACCCAGGGCAATGGAGCAACGAGCTGAACATTATGAGCACCTACGTCAAAAGAAAGTGAGTTTTAAAATAGGGAGAGTATCTAAATTATGTGGCCGTTTCCTTATAGGGGGAGTACTCCTATAGGATGAGCAGAGTACCGAGTTGAAAATCATGAGCACCTACGTCAAAAGAATGTGAGTTTTAAAGAAAGGGAGTATGCTACACCACCTTTTGGTGATGTATGGGTAACACATTCAGGCGAGGGGGTCTTACCTGTGGCTGGCGCATACAGGCGAGGGAGGACGCGTTTGGGGATGTGAAGAGCTGGTGGAGAGTCAGAGTGACAGAGTGGCCTCTCATTGCTTGCTTACCTCGTTGTCCACTGCTTGCTCCGAAATCACCCACCAGTGGTCGTGGGTGGGTGGCGCATACAGGCGAGGACGCATTTGGGGATGTCACAGAGCTGGTGGAGAGTGCGAATGAGAGGGTGGCCTCTCATTGTTTGCTCCCTCCCCACCCTCCCTTCCTACCCACCAGTGGCCGTGGCTGGCGCATTCAGGCAAGGGAAGATGCATTTGGGGATGCGACAGAGCTGGTGGAGAGTCGATTTTTGAGTCGACTCAAAAGTCACCTCGTTTGTTTGGGGATGTGACAGAGCTGGTGGAGAGTTTTGAGTCGACTCAAAAGTCACCTCGTTTCTTTGGGGATGTGACAGAGCTGGTGGAGAGAATGAGAGTGAGAGAGTGGCCTCTCGTTGCTTGCTTACCTGTTTATCCACTTGTTGCGCCCTCCCCACCTGCCCCTCCTATCACCCACCAGTGGCCGTGGATGGAGCATTCAAGCACGAGAAGATGGGTTTTGGAGACGTGACAGAGCTGGTGGAGAGTCAGGAGCACAGGACATTACTTGCTTGCCTATTTGTCCCCTCCTCGCTCACCTGCTGTGCCCCTCTTCCCGCCCTCAACTCCCAGCGGCCGCGGGTGGCGCATTCAAGCACGCGAGGACGCGTTTGGAGACGTGACAGAGCTGGTGGAGAGTCAGGAGCACAGGACATTACTTGCTTGCCTATTTGTCCCCTCCTCGCTCACCTGCTGTGCCCCTCTTCCCGCCCTCAACTCCCAGCGGCCGCGGGTGGCGCATTCAAGCACGCGAGGACGCGTTTGGAGACGTGACAGAGCTGGTGGAGAGTCAGGAGCACAGGACATTACTTGCTTGCCTATTTGTCCCCTCCTCGCTCACCTGCTGTGCCCCTCTTCCCGCCCTCAACTCCCAGCGGCCGCGGGTGGCGCATTCAAGCACGCGAGGACGCGTTTGGAGACGTGACAGAGCTGGTGGAGAGTCAGGAGCACAGGACATTACTTGCTTGCCTATTTGTCCCCTCCTCGCTCACCTGCTGTGCCCCTCTTCCCGCCCTCAACTCCCAGCGGCCGCGGGTGGCGCATTCAAGCACGCGAGGACGCGTTTGGAGACGTGACAGAGCTGGTGGAGAGTCAGGAGCACAGGACATTACTTGCTTGCCTATTTGTCCCCTCCTCGCTCACCTGCTGTGCCCCTCTTCCCGCCCTCAACTCCCAGCGGCCGCGGGTGGCGCATTCAAGCACGCGAGGACGCGTTTGGAGACGTGACAGAGCTGGTGGAGAGTCAGGAGCACAGGACATTACTTGCTTGCCTATTTGTCCCCTCCTCGCTCACCTGCTGTGCCCCTCTTCCCGCCCTCAACTCCCAGCGGCCGCGGGTGGCGCATTCAAGCACGCGAGGACGCGTTTGGAGACGTGACAGAGCTGGTGGAGAGTCAGGAGCACAGGACATTACTTGCTTGCCTATTTGTCCCCTCCTCGCTCACCTGCTGTGCCCCTCTTCCCGCCCTCAACTCCCAGCGGCCGCGGGTGGCGCATTCAAGCACGCGAGGACGCGTTTGGAGACGTGACAGAGCTGGTGGAGAGTCAGGAGCACAGGACATTACTTGCTTGCCTATTTGTCCCCTCCTCGCTCACCTGCTGTGCCCCTCTTCCCGCCCTCAACTCCCAGCGGCCGCGGGTGGCGCATTCAAGCACGCGAGGACGCGTTTGGAGACGTGACAGAGCTGGTGGAGAGTCAGGAGCACAGGACATTACTTGCTTGCCTATTTGTCCCCTCCTCGCTCACCTGCTGTGCCCCTCTTCCCGCCCTCAACTCCCAGCGGCCGCGGGTGGCGCATTCAAGCACGCGAGGACGCGTTTGGAGACGTGACAGAGCTGGTGGAGAGTCAGGAGCACAGGACATTACTTGCTTGCCTATTTGTCCCCTCCTCGCTCACCTGCTGTGCCCCTCTTCCCGCCCTCAACTCCCAGCGGCCGCGGGTGGCGCATTCAAGCACGCGAGGACGCGTTTGGAGACGTGACAGAGCTGGTGGAGAGTCAGGAGCACAGGACATTACTTGCTTGCCTATTTGTCCCCTCCTCGCTCACCTGCTGTGCCCCTCTTCCCGCCCTCAACTCCCAGCGGCCGCGGGTGGCGCATTCAAGCACGCGAGGACGCGTTTGGAGACGTGACAGAGCTGGTGGAGAGTCAGGAGCACAGGACATTACTTGCTTGCCTATTTGTCCCCTCCTCGCTCACCTGCTGTGCCCCTCTTCCCGCCCTCAACTCCCAGCGGCCGCGGGTGGCGCATTCAAGCACGCGAGGACGCGTTTGGAGACGTGACAGAGCTGGTGGAGAGTCAGGAGCACAGGACATTACTTGCTTGCCTATTTGTCCCCTCCTCGCTCACCTGCTGTGCCCCTCTTCCCGCCCTCAACTCCCAGCGGCCGCGGGTGGCGCATTCAAGCACGCGAGGACGCGTTTGGAGACGTGACAGAGCTGGTGGAGAGTCAGGAGCACAGGACATTACTTGCTTGCCTATTTGTCCCCTCCTCGCTCACCTGCTGTGCCCCTCTTCCCGCCCTCAACTCCCAGCGGCCGCGGGTGGCGCATTCAAGCACGCGAGGACGCGTTTGGAGACGTGACAGAGCTGGTGGAGAGTCAGGAGCACAGGACATTACTTGCTTGCCTATTTGTCCCCTCCTCGCTCACCTGCTGTGCCCCTCTTCCCGCCCTCAACTCCCAGCGGCCGCGGGTGGCGCATTCAAGCACGCGAGGACGCGTTTGGAGACGTGACAGAGCTGGTGGAGAGTCAGGAGCACAGGACATTACTTGCTTGCCTATTTGTCCCCTCCTCGCTCACCTGCTGTGCCCCTCTTCCCGCCCTCAACTCCCAGCGGCCGCGGGTGGCGCATTCAAGCACGCGAGGACGCGTTTGGAGACGTGACAGAGCTGGTGGAGAGTCAGGAGCACAGGACATTACTTGCTTGCCTATTTGTCCCCTCCTCGCTCACCTGCTGTGCCCCTCTTCCCGCCCTCAACTCCCAGCGGCCGCGGGTGGCGCATTCAAGCACGCGAGGACGCGTTTGGAGACGTGACAGAGCTGGTGGAGAGTCAGGAGCACAGGACATTACTTGCTTGCCTATTTGTCCCCTCCTCGCTCACCTGCTGTGCCCCTCTTCCCGCCCTCAACTCCCAGCGGCCGCGGGTGGCGCATTCAAGCACGCGAGGACGCGTTTGGAGACGTGACAGAGCTGGTGGAGAGTCAGGAGCACAGGACATTACTTGCTTGCCTATTTGTCCCCTCCTCGCTCACCTGCTGTGCCCCTCTTCCCGCCCTCAACTCCCAGCGGCCGCGGGTGGCGCATTCAAGCACGCGAGGACGCGTTTGGAGACGTGACAGAGCTGGTGGAGAGTCAGGAGCACAGGACATTACTTGCTTGCCTATTTGTCCCCTCCTCGCTCACCTGCTGTGCCCCTCTTCCCGCCCTCAACTCCCAGCGGCCGCGGGTGGCGCATTCAAGCACGCGAGGACGCGTTTGGAGACGTGACAGAGCTGGTGGAGAGTCAGGAGCACAGGACATTACTTGCTTGCCTATTTGTCCCCTCCTCGCTCACCTGCTGTGCCCCTCTTCCCGCCCTCAACTCCCAGCGGCCGCGGGTGGCGCATTCAAGCACGCGAGGACGCGTTTGGAGACGTGACAGAGCTGGTGGAGAGTCAGGAGCACAGGACATTACTTGCTTGCCTATTTGTCCCCTCCTCGCTCACCTGCTGTGCCCCTCTTCCCGCCCTCAACTCCCAGCGGCCGCGGGTGGCGCATTCAAGCACGCGAGGACGCGTTTGGAGACGTGACAGAGCTGGTGGAGAGTCAGGAGCACAGGACATTACTTGCTTGCCTATTTGTCCCCTCCTCGCTCACCTGCTGTGCCCCTCTTCCCGCCCTCAACTCCCAGCGGCCGCGGGTGGCGCATTCAAGCACGCGAGGACGCGTTTGGAGACGTGACAGAGCTGGTGGAGAGTCAGGAGCACAGGACATTACTTGCTTGCCTATTTGTCCCCTCCTCGCTCACCTGCTGTGCCCCTCTTCCCGCCCTCAACTCCCAGCGGCCGCGGGTGGCGCATTCAAGCACGCGAGGACGCGTTTGGAGACGTGACAGAGCTGGTGGAGAGTCAGGAGCACAGGACATTACTTGCTTGCCTATTTGTCCCCTCCTCGCTCACCTGCTGTGCCCCTCTTCCCGCCCTCAACTCCCAGCGGCCGCGGGTGGCGCATTCAAGCACGCGAGGACGCGTTTGGAGACGTGACAGAGCTGGTGGAGAGTCAGGAGCACAGGACATTACTTGCTTGCCTATTTGTCCCCTCCTCGCTCACCTGCTGTGCCCCTCTTCCCGCCCTCAACTCCCAGCGGCCGCGGGTGGCGCATTCAAGCACGCGAGGACGCGTTTGGAGACGTGACAGAGCTGGTGGAGAGTCAGGAGCACAGGACATTACTTGCTTGCCTATTTGTCCCCTCCTCGCTCACCTGCTGTGCCCCTCTTCCCGCCCTCAACTCCCAGCGGCCGCGGGTGGCGCATTCAAGCACGCGAGGACGCGTTTGGAGACGTGACAGAGCTGGTGGAGAGTCAGGAGCACAGGACATTACTTGCTTGCCTATTTGTCCCCTCCTCGCTCACCTGCTGTGCCCCTCTTCCCGCCCTCAACTCCCAGCGGCCGCGGGTGGCGCATTCAAGCACG